AAAAAAAAAAAAAAAACTTTAAATGCTGGGACCAGAAGATGGCATAATGATTACATCGTTGGACTCCCATGGAGTTTACTGCGGTTCAAGTCCTGGACCTAGCAACTTAAAACTCATGCCAGGCATGTATGCATGTGTGCCCAAAATCCCCAAGAGGAGAATGGAGGAGAAGGATTGCAACAAGGCTATCCCCCAGGGGATGATTTCTCGCTTTCTGTTTCTCTCTCTATCTCTCTCTCTCTCTCTCTAGTGAACACACGCACCCTATAGCAAAAAACTCTTTTAAAAAAAGTAGTAATGCTTTATCTGAAATATGGAAGAATGAGAATGAATTTTCTTGTGCACATTGTAAGTCACATAAAAAAGCAAAATACTCTCAAAGGTAGCCACCATAGGTGTGTGTGTGTGTGTGTGTGTGTGTGTGTGTGTGTGTTTCCTTCCATGCAGTGACTAATGAGATCTTCTATTGGGTTTTATGTCCAAAGCTTGAATTTCAGCCCATGTTAGGAAAAGTATAAACTAGTAATTAACTACTCATGCAACTGAGTAGTGTGAAACTCCAGGCTTATAAAGTAGTGGGCTCAGTCCTAATGAGAGGTGAGTAGAAGTCTAAGAGTGTTTGCCATTCCTGGCACAGGATCAGTGAGGAGAAGGGGGACATATGGGAAAAATAGGAGTCAGATCTTCACCCAAAAGACTGGAGAAACCTAGCCAAAGTATCTTAGATGTCTATTATGTCTAGCATGACAGGCAAGGAACAAACAGTCTAGAGACAGAGAAATCTGTAAATAAGCAAATGCCACTCAGTGTGTTAAAAATTTTCAAATCTGGGGACCAGCAGTTAGCGTAATGGCTATGTCACTGGACTCCCACGTAGTTGACCGCGGTTCAAGTCCCGGACCCGGTGGCTTAAGCTCACTCCAGGCGCATGTGTGTGCGTGCCCAAGATCCCAAGAGGAGAATGGAGGAGAAGGGATTGCGGCGTGGCCATCCCCCCTGGGGTGTGATTTCTCGCTTTCTGTCTCTCTGTCTCTCTCTGTCTGTTTGGCGAGCACACGCGCCCTATAGCAAAAAACCTCTCCAAAAAAAGAGAAAAAAAAAATTTTCAAATCTGGGCTGGCAGATGGCATGACGTTTAAGACACTGGACTCCCACATGGACCATAGTTCAAGTCCCAGACCTGGTTACTTGCTTTCTCACTTTCCCTTTCTCTCTCTCTCTGTCTCTCTTTAGTCAAATAATAATAATAATAATTAATAAAATTAAATAACCACTAGTGGTTAATATTAAAAAAAAATTTCCAAATCAGTGTCAAACCTTTCAGGCATATCCTAGTAGGTTGGAGTAACTCAATCTGTGCTCATTTGGAAGTGCCGCACCTACCACATCCACACCAACTGTTCCCTAGCCATGGAGTGGAGCGAAGACCTCGTTGGAGATTTCTGTCTCTGTCTCTCATGAAAGAAAGAGAGAGTGAGAGAGAGAAAGCATGCACAGGCCATTGCTTCTCATTTTTGGGGGGTGTTTTTTTATAAGTTTTTATTTATTCATTTTAACTATTATTTATACATTTAATCACTACACATCATTTAGATTGTAAAGAGACTTTACCTAGAGTGACACACACCTCAGTCCAGCCCAGTTAAGAACATGCGCATGTCCTCTTCAACAAACAATAAACCTTCTCCATGTCCCACAAATGCCCTACCTCTCCATTTTTTCACAAAATTTCCTTTCCTACGTTCTTCCCTCCCCCACTTTTTCCACTTTGGCTCTAGTGTCCATAACAATTTTTAATGTTTGTATGTCCTCCAGTCTTTCAGTCTCTGCCATAGAGTGCAGACAGTCAGTATCTGTTAAGTGGAGACATACAATGTCTCTCTTTCATAGCCTGACTTGCATCACTCAGCAACAGATCTTCCATATTCATCCACTTTGTATCAAATTCCAGGGCCTTGTTTTTTTATTTTTATTTGTTTATTTATTTATTTTTATGGCTGAATAGTATTCCATGGAGTATATGGGCCACACTTTTTCAGTCCGTTCATCTGTTTGTGGACATTTGGGTTGATTCCATGTCTTAGCAATCGTGAATAAGGCCACAGTGAATATAGATGTGCAGGCTCTTTTCCAACTGAGGTTCTCCTGTCCTTTTGGGTAGTTACCCAGGAGTGGAATTGCTGGATCATGTGATAGTTTTATTGGAAGGTCTTTGAGGCAGTGGCTGGACCAATTTACAATCTCACCAACAGTGTAGGAGTGTTCCCCTTTCACTGCATCCCCTCCAGCACTTATCATTTTTTTGTTTTTTAACCTTCGTCATCCTGACTGGGGTTAAGTGATATCACATTGTGGTTTTGATCGCATCTTCCTTATGATGATTTGAAGATTATGTAAGGCACATGTGTGTGCATGCCCCAAATCCCAGGAGGACAATATAGGGAAGGGAATTGCAGCATGGCCATCCCAATTCTAGAGGATGATCTTATACTTTCTCTCTCACTCTCTCTCTGTCTTTCTCTGGCAAACTCATGTGGCCTATGGCAAAAACCTAAAAACCTAAAAAAAAAAAAAACTGGAAATAATCAGGCCTTCATTATACCCAAGGTGTCACAAAGGATAAACAATTAACTTTTGCTTTGCTTTCGTTTTATCAGCCATGGATTGTTTCAGAACTTCGCTGGGCAATTCCTGGGTTTATCCCACTGTGATCCTCTGCTTATTTGGGTTTTTCTCTATGATGAGACCCTCGGAACCCTTCCTTATCCCATATTTGTCTGGACCTAGTAAGAACCTGACCAGCACACAGGTAAGTTAATATACATGCATGTCTTTTTTCTTTTCTTCACTCTATTATTTTATTTTATTAGAATTTTAATTTTTAAAATTTCATTTATTTTTTTCATGAGAGAGAGACAGCAATAAGTCACTCCCTAAAGGGTCCCCACACCTAGATCCGCCCCCAGTCTCTGCCAGCCCCAAGCATAATTGCACACACACACACACACACACGTTCGTGTGCCCAGAGAAGTCCCAGGATGTGGACCCTGGGCCTTTCCCGTGTAGTTTCAGTAGCATTACTATTGCACCCCCACCTCCAGTCCCATCTTGATGTGGTTTAATTTTACAGGACTCAAAGACACAGAGTCAGAGCTTCATTCAACTTGAAATAAGATGAGTACATTGGCCTCAAAGGGTCCCATTTTCATAGTATTTGTCACACCAGAGAATTGTTCGAACCTCTCTTCCCTCCTTCACGCTTGCACATTTCATATGCGATAAATATGTCGGCTTTTATGGGATCCTAACACGTAATGCATATTAACACTAAGCTCCACCGTAAATTCTATTAATACGAACCCCAGAAAGGAAGTTACTGCCAAGCACAGGAGTTGATCCTAAGAGACTGCTGAGGACTAAGCAGAATCTCATAAGAATTACAGCATTTATTAAACTACTTACGAGCAGGTGAAGCATCCATAGCTTTGTATCCCCGTCCTCCCCACCTTTCCTTTGTTTACTTCAAAGATCCACCTCTCTGTCCTGTAACAAGTGTAACAAGGGCGCCGACCTGGCTAGACAGCTGCCCTGGGCCGTCTTTCTAACATTCAGCCATAGCCACAGAAACACTGCACAGAGTATGTGGCTCCACCCGAAAGGACAATTGGTGCTGGCGGATTAGGTGGTGAGGTGACAAGGACAGAAAGACAGTCTTGTTCTGGAGTGTGAGGTCACTTAGGGACCGCTCTGTTGCAGTTTCTCCGATTAAAGCATGTCACTATTAAAACAAAACAAAGGAAAGGCAAATGAACCTACCAGGGTCGCCTTCTGCAACCATGGACCAGGTGATCGACCTGCCCTGGAGGTGCAGCTTAGCCACGCTGGTCTGTGTTCTGTATTCCCTGTGGCACTCAGAGAATGCATGAGGAGGGAAAGCCCTCAGCATATCCCGAAGGTCAACAACTACTTCAGTCTTTCTACCTGTGAAAATTGATATTACCTGCGTTTCCAACTATATCCATAAGAAGATTCTTATTAAGATGAGGCCAGGGACCAATACACAGTATGGTGGTTAAGGCACTGGATTTCGGCATCTGACCACAGCTCGAGTCCCAAACCTGGACTTGAAAATCATGCCTGGCATGTGAACGTGTGGGCCCAAAATCCTGAGAGGAGACTGGAGGAGAAGGGATTGCGCCATGGCCATCCATCCTTTCCCGCTGTTTCTCTCCGGTGAATGCAGGTGCTCTATGGCAAAAACTAGGGGGAAAATGAGGCCAGAATTGAGTAATCACAGGCTAAGCTAGAGAATTTCCTGGGAAAGGGCTGGGAGCCTACTGAATTTGGCCAGGGTAAAAATGAAATGAGTTACTTTTTCTCGCTAATTCGGCAGTATTACTTACTCTTCCCATCTTCATGTGTTTATCCAGACTTTGGAAGGACTGAAATTATTATTATTATTATAGGGTACATGTGTTCACTGGAGACAGAGAGAGAGAGAGAGAGAGAAGGCATCCCCAGGACCGGCGGCCTTACCACAGTCCCTTCTCCATTCTCCTCTTGGGACCTAAGGCATGCACGCACATGTGCTTGGTGTGTTTTTCAGGCTGTGGGGTCTGTACTTGAACTGTGCAGTCAGCCACGTGGGATCCAGCTGCCTTAACCTACATGCCATCCGCTGGCCCTTGGCTGAAATTTTTGATATAGTAATGGATCCAATAAAGGTTGTTGGATTCTTTCACAATTACAACCTCTTTACCTAATGTTAATATTTGAACAAAAAGGGAACGCTACTTTTTAAGAATCTAGAAAAATCAAGCCAGCCCTGTAGCACAGTGATTAAGTGCTGTGTATTGGGATTCAGCCAGATTCTGCAGGGCAGGCAGTGATTAACACCTCAGCCCCATATGCCACACACATGTGCTTTCATTGCTAAAGTCCTGACAGGATAGAAACGGAGGGTAGGGATTGTGGTATGATTATACCCCCCTTGATGGTACTTTATCTCTCTCTGTCTGTCTGTCTGTCTGTCTCTCTCTCTCTCTCTCTCCAGTGAGCACACATGCCCTGTGGAAATAATAAATAATGATTAAAAAAAACTAAAAACTGAGAAGTATCTGTACCATTTTTAACTAATTTATTCAGTTGTACATGCTTTGAAACTTAATGTTTAGTTCAGATTGTGCATTTACCTAATACATTGGGATATGCCTAATTGTATAAATTATTTAGTTTTTTTTCTTTAGTGGGGGAGGAGACCTTTGAAAATCAGTTTTCTGTCATGTTTTTTCATAATATGAAGCATATGTGATTATCTTTGCCTTAGGGCATGTACACTCTCCAGAGAGACAGAGACAGTGAAAGGGAAAGTGAGAAATCACCACCCCCCCCACCTCCCCAGGGAAGATGACCACGCTGCAATCCCTTCTCGATTCTCCTCCTGGGGTCTTGGATGCATGCATATGCACCTGGTTTGAGTTTTAAGTCACCAGGTCTGGGACTCGAACTGTGATTGGCCATGTGGGAGTCCAGCAACATAACCACTATGCCATCTGCTGGCCCCATGATTTTTTTTTTTTAATTTGCTACAGAGTGCATGTACTCGCCAGAAGAGACACAGAGGAGGGGGGATGAAAAAGCACCCTCCAGGGTGATTGCCACCCTGCAATCCTTTCTTCTTCTCTTGGGATTTGGAAATGCATGCACATGCCCAATGTGTTTTTTTAAGCCACCAAGCCCAGGATTCAAACCACATAGTTGGCCATGTGAGCTCCAGCCTCCTTAACCACCATACCCCCTACTGGCACTAGATGCAGAATTTGAGATACAAACCACACGTACCTTTCCAATGTACCCATGGTTCATGGTCACACCATCCACTTCGCAGATCACAAATGAGATCCTTCCAGTTTGGACATACTCGTATCTGGTGCTGCTGCTCCCGGTCTTCGTCCTCACCGATTACGTCCGCTATAAGCCGGTCATCATCTTACAAGGGCTTAGCTTCATCATCACCTGGCTGCTGCTCTTGTTTGGTCAAGGAGTGAAAGCCATGCAGGCTGTGGAGTTCTTCTACGGGATGGTCACTGCCACCGAGGTGGCCTACTATGCCTACATATACAGCGTGGTCAGCCCAGAGCACTACCAGAAGGTCAGCGGCTACTGTCGGAGCATCACGCTGGTGGCCTACACTGCGGCCTCGGTGCTGGCTCAGCTGCTGGTCACCCTGGTGAACCTGTCATACTTTTATCTCAACGTCATAAGCATGGTCTCTGTGTCCGTGGCCTTCCTGTTCTCACTTTTTCTGCCAATGCCCAAGAAAAGCTTGTTCTTTCATGCAAAATCCAGCACGGAAGTAAAGGAGCCCCCAGATGTGGGGACTGTGGTAGAGGACCCCCATGGGACTGAAGTACCAGGCTGGAAAGAGAACCCCACCTCGGAAAAAATCAATGTGTCTGGAAGCCTGGCTCATGGCCAGCTGAGCAGCCCAAAGCCCAAACATGTGGCTTTGCACGTTATTGTGCAGTGGATCCGAGATTTGAAGGAATGCTACTCCTCAAGGCGTCTGCTGTACTGGTCCCTGTGGTGGGCCTTTTCCACAGCAGGTTTTAACCAAGTTTTGAACTATGTTCAGATCCTGTGGGATTACAAGGCACCGTCACAAGATTCTTCCATCTACAATGGGGCGGTGGAAGCAATTGCAACATTCGGAGGTCAGTAACGCTCCCTTTCCCTTCCTCTGCTGGGCTACCCTATAAGTTCATCTCTGCAGATACTAAATTTTTCCATGGTGTAAATTAATTTTGTCCAGAGGCAGAATCGATTTTTTTTTTTCCCAAGAATGGAAGACACTGGAAAAGTATGAGAACCGTGGCCTTCTATTTAATGTGTGGTAGTTGCAACAAGTAATTCAGGAATTGAGGGCTTAGAATCAAAGCATTAAATTCTAGTCAAATTCCTGAAGATCACACTGAATCATAAGAACAGAGTTAAAAATATGCCCTGTTCTTGCAGGATTATATATGATATCAAAGGAAAAAATGTCTATAAGTAAGGAGTTTTTATTAATTATTTCAGAAAATTAATTAAGGCTTAGGAATTCTTCCTGAGAAAGTCTTTGTTTTGTTTTCTTTTTAAGAGGCTTTTGCCTCAGAGCACTTGTGCTGGGTTGGGGGTTGGAGGGAGGTGGACACAGTGAGAAGGAAAATGAGAAATCACCCCCCTATGGATGGTCACGCTAGCCACAATCTCTTCTCCATTCTCTTCTCGGGATCTTGGGCATGCACATACACACACCCACTGTGAGTTTCAAGCCACTGGGTCTGGGACTCAAAATACAGTCAGCCATGTGGGAGTCCAGCAACATAACTGCTACACCATCTGCTGGCTCTGTTTTTGTTTTTTAAATTGCCAGAGGACCTGTGTGCTCACCAGAGAGAGAAAAGAAAGCACCCCAAGGGGTATGGCCATCCACAGTCCCTTTTCTTCCATCTCTTCATCCCAGTGAGACTTGGGACACAAATGCCCAACGTGTTTTTCAAACCAGCAGGACTAGGATTCCAACCACAGTCAACCATATGGAATCCAGCTCCCAAGATACAGAGCTTAGCCATTGCACTATTAGGTCAGCCTGGGAGAGGAGGATTTCACCTCGTTAGCAGTCACTTTTAACAATAATAAGCATACATCAACAATTTTTCAAATTTTCAAAAGTACCTTTAAATGAGCGCTGGAAGAGATTCAAATATCAGAGGAAACATGTTTAAAGTTTACAGTAAATATTTATATCCTTGTAGAAGGAAACTTAAACGTCAAATGAGACTTTGAAGATATTTTCTAGGAACTGGAAGTCTTCCACACCCTCATTTATAGAGTTCCTCTGTTTTTTACTACCTCCCTTTTGGGTGGCTTCAGTTTAACTCCTGGAAACCAGGACTGCTGGACATGGTTTGCTGAAATTAGTGCTTCTATGTTGCAAATTCTTGGGTTGGAAATAGTTTTGTACTTATTGTTGTCATGGTATCTCCTTGATTACATGTGGGGAAGTTAATTAATCATATGTCAGTGATTTGAAACCTAAATACCTTTCACTTCATTAAAGAAAACACTAATTACTCACCATAATTACAATTATTCAACCTCTTCAACTCGATAAATTAATATAGGTCTTTTCACCCAAAGCATCAAGTAAACTAGTTTAGATCTTGAAGACCTTAATGTGGAGATTAAAGGTAAGATTTATTGGGCTGTTGGAAGAGTCATGACATAATTTTTGTATATTTTTCTATACAAAAATGTGTCATGAGTTTTCCAACAACCCAATAAATTGACAAAGATTAATAATAAAGACTAAAAAACTGACTGTTCAGTGCAACCCATCTGGTCCCCATCACTGGGAAGAAACAACAACAACAACAACAAAATGGTAAAGAAAAGCAAGCAGAGAGGCCAGGTGTAGTCTCAGAGCACTTGTGTTGTTCTTCCTACCCCAGCTTGATGTATGAGAGGGCGGGCTCATGGGCCATCTCTCCCCACTCTGTGGTAGGAACCTTCCTGGCTCCCCACCTAGCACCGTGCCTGGTGGGTGGTTGACACTAATAAAGAGTGTGATGACAACATGAAAGAATAGGAAGGCAGAAGAGAAGCCAGAAGAAAACATGGTTGAAGAAAGGAGAAATCCACATTTAGGTGGAACAATTTTGTGAAAACAATATATATATATATATATACACACACACACACACACACACACACACACACATATATATCTTTCAGAATTACCTGAGATCTGGATTTTGTTTGTTTCGTTTTTCAGGTTTTTGTCATAGGGCACATGCACTCCGTAAGAGACAGAGAAATAAAGTGAGAAATCACCCCTGTCAGGAAAGCCATGCCACAATCCCATCTCCTCCATTCTCCTGGAGCTTGGGGCACGCACACACATGCACCTGACATGGTTTTCAAGCCGCCAGGTCTGGGACTTGAACCACAGTCTGTCAGGTAGGAATCCAGCACTTTAACCACCATGCTACTGGCTGGCCCCGAGACTTGGGTTTTTAAGAAATCCTGTTGGGGGGCCAGCAGGTGGTTTAGTAGTTAAGGTGCTGGACTCCCACATAGCTGACTGCAGTTCAAGTCCTGGACCTGGCGACTTACATTCTCCCCTCACCCCCACCTGTGTGTGCATGTGCCCTATAGCAAATTTAAAATAAATAAATAAATAAACTTTTTTTAAAAAAAAGAGATCTTGTTAGGGCCCAGCAGGTGGCATGGTAGTTAAAGCACTGGACTCACACATGGCCGACCGTGGTTCCAGACTAGTGGCCTGCTTTCTCACTTTCTTTCTGTTTCTCTCTGGTGAGCACACATGCCTTAGAGTATATTTTAAAATAATAAATAAAATTAAATAAATAATATTTTTTTTAGAAAAGGGAGGGGTCAGGTTGGTATTTCCCGTGCGCAGTCAGTGTGTCTGACCTTCCGCAGTGTTTCGTTTTCAGGGGCTGTGGCTGCCTTTGCAGTGGGTTATGTGAAAGCCGACTGGGATCTCCTGGGAGAGTTGGCCTTGGGGATCTTCTCAGTGGTCAATGCAGCCTCTCTATTCCTCATGCACTACACAGCTAGCATCTGGGCCTGCTACGCCGGCTACCTGGTGTTCAAGTCCAGCTATATGCTTCTAATAACCATAGCAGTGTAAGTATTCCCAGTCAGTCCTTTCTGCTCCTAAAATTAAACTGTAGTTCCCACTTTTCTGTGTTCCAAAAGTTCCTCTGAGAACTTTAGGATTTTAAAGAATTAAATACTGAATGTTGACTTCTTGATATTAAATTAGACACAATTTTTTAAGCCCTTTTTTAAGAGAGAGAGAGATTTTTGCTATAGGGCGTGTGTGCTCACTGGAGAGACAGAGAGACATGAAAGTGAGAAATCATCCCCTGAAGAGATGGCCTCACCACAATCCCTTCTCCATTCTCCTCTCGGGATTTTGTTCATGCATCCACATGCATCCAGCATGAGTTTAAGCTGCTGGGTCCAGGACTTGAACCACAGATCAACTACATGGGAGTCCACAGGTCAACTACGTGGGAGTCCAGTGACATAACCATTATCCCATCTGCTGGTCCCAAACCCTGTTTTTATTTCACTGTTTTCTTCTAAATATTGCTAAGGTTACTGATCGAGAAAATAAATTTCTGTAGGTGTTTAAACAAAATGCAATGATACATCTTCAGGTTTTGCTTTTTCGTTTCCGGCAATTCTCCATAACAGGGTGCCTTGCGATCTGATTTTAAATGCTTCCATTTACGTGTCATCCCTCATGTCACTTGATTGCTTAAGTAATTCTAGGTAGATACTTTTTGGGAAATAAAATATCCTCAGGAAAGTAATATTAGATTCTATAAAATATAGATACATAGATTAAAAGAAAATTTTAACTACATTTATGCATTTTACCAGTGGTTTTCAATCATTGTCTAAAAAGAACTTTCTGGGATTTAGAGTTTCCAATAATCTTCACATCTACTTTTCTGAGAGGTCTTTTCTAGACAATGATTCAAAACCTGACTACAAGAAATGTGCTTTGGTATTAACCAAAGGGATGAGAAACATAGGAATTTTGAAGGGTATTAAAGAATTAAAGTTAAATTAAATACAAAATTAAATTTAATTAAAATGAAATTAAATACAAAAGCTGTATTCAGTTTGGTTTTTAATTGGTAAAAGAATGTTTGATAAAAATTGATAAGATACAGGAATATGAGCAACCAGGGAAAAGATCATGAGACAAAGGAGCGAGATAAAACTAGTTGGCAAGTGTGTGTGTGTGTGTGTGTGTGTGTGTGTGTGTTTTAATTTTCTATAGGTTGTGTACACTCACCATAGAGAGAGAAAGTGAGAAATCACTCTCCAGGGGGATGGCCACACCATAGTCCCTTTTCCTCCATTCTCCTCTTGGGAGTTTGGGCACTCATGTACACAAGCCCAGCATGTTTTTCAAGCTCCTGAGTCCAGGATTTGTGCAGTCAGCTATATGGGATCCAGCCACCTTAACCACCACGCCACCTGCTGGCCCAGCAAGTTCATTTTTTCACTGAAATGTCTCAGTTTACTGAATCAAACTCATGTGTCTTGAGTGTCTTTTTTATATGTGAGAATTTGTTAATGTAGGACTGCTAATTTCTTTGCATTTAAAAGTTCTCAGAACCCAAAGCTTTGTACCTGCATTTTGAAGAATTCAAAATAATATACACTTGCAAGTCTTTCTTATATATTTTGTAGTAAGAACTAAAAATATAGTATTAAAATAAATTAGTCACAGGTACATTCGATTGTACAACTAGTCATAATCCCAAAGAATAACTGATCTGTCAAACTTCGAATCTGTCAATGTAAATTGGCATATAATGAATGACAAAAAAGTTCCTAGATGTGATAGCACTTTCATTTTTATAAAAATCCACTGTAAAATAGTGTCTAAATCAGGAAGCATCTAATATTCTCAAGTGGTGAGAACTGTTAGGTTGAAGTCATGGAAAGCATGAAATTAGTTCGGAGGAATTTTGCCATGTTACCTTTAATTCAGCCTTCATTTTTAAAACTCCCTTTCTTTGCTCTGCCTGTTTGTCTATACTGCAGGAACATTAGAGAAGTGCCGTGAGCAAAACATTGCTTTCTCTTCAATTTCTCTCGTTTTAAAAGAAGAATTCCTATATTAGATGATTAACATGCTATTTGATGTGTAATGTTAGGTTTCAGATTGCAGTCAATCTGAGTGTGGAACGCTACGCCCTTGTGTTCGGGGTCAACACCTTCATTGCCTTGGTGATTCAGACCATTCTAACCATCGTCATAGTCGATCAAGGAGGGCTGAACCTGCCAGTTAGCATTCAGGTAAGCTGCAATGCTCCTGTGCTCCTACTAGTGTAGTCGGTGGGACTGTAGCATAACTAGGTAACCTCAAAGCTTTCTCAAGTTTACAATATTTAAACTTCTTGAATTCCCTGGTTAGACAAATTGAAAAATACACAATTCTTTCATTATTACACCAATTATAACACACCAAGTAGGTTTCCAGTAATCATTGCAATTAGGTCAACATTTACCTGGATGACTCTGGTAAAAAGTAACCTCAGTGTCTGAAATTCCTTCTTGGAAACACCACATCATAGCAGTCTCCAAACATTAACACAGACCAATCAGTGTAACTTAGTGTTTTTTCACTGCTGATGCTTGTAGTTAAGATTTGAACCTAGCCAGCAGGCTGAAAAGCCAACACATAATCACTGCATTACTTATATTTTGTTTCTGTAAGGGAGGAGAAGAAAATACTGTGGAATCTCACCGACACATAATGACATGGCGTTTCAGTTACTCCATATTCCAAGCCAAACAACAACATCACTTTATGTTTCAGTGACATAGATGGCTAGATTCCATACGTGGCTAATTATTGTTTTTCCTCCAGTTTTTAGCTTATGGGAGTTACTTTGCAGTTATTGCTGGGATTTTCTTAATGAGAAGCCTATACATTATCTGTTCAGCAAAATGCCCACAGAAGGCACGGAGCCCTGCTGCGAGTCAGAATCCAGATGGGCCACACTCGGAGGAGCCAAGGACTAGCACATCAACGAAGTTCTGAGCATGCGATGTCATCTGCTACACCAGTTTTCAGAGTCACTGGATGGAAATGTACAAAAGGCCTTTGAGACGGATGGCTTGATATGTTCTGCTGTTAGTTGACAAGCTTTACAAGTCTGAATTCAGTGCACTTTCAAAACCACAACAAAACCTCAGCTCTAGACTAATGGCTTTGTGTCCAGCTGAACGGGATGCTATCAAAAGAGCCCATCATCACAAGGTTGGGGACCTATGGTGGCCACTCCCATAAACAACAGTAATTGGAAAATTTTGTTTCTGACAATGTGCAAGAGTGTGAAAATGACATGAAAACAAACCATGAGAAAACTCCAGCCATCCTAACGTGGCATTTCACATTTGTGAGCAGAAAGACTACCTAGACTGACCTGCTGGTTGGCTGAGATACTTTTTTGATCTTACCAGAGGAGACAACACAAAGAGCATTGTTGTCAAGTAGCCTTTTTTTTTTTCCTTTTCCAATGAGTATTTCTGTTTAATTTACAGTTCTCTGAGAGAATGATATTGGTCCCATTTCTAAGGACTCTTCATTCCCGATAACAGCATTATTCATACGCTATGATTTGATGATATCGCTATTTAAGTCTTTTCATGATTTAAATTTTTTGCTCTGCTGAGCTTTGTGGTTTAAACTCTACCTCAGGAATGGCTCTAGATGTTTTGTGTGTCTGCAAAATGACATTCACACCCGTTCCCAGTGGCCTGGGGGAGGCAATGGGCCATCTCCCCACCAGGACCCTAGGCTGGGGTTTTAATGCTACATCAGAGTAAGGTATGTCTGAAATAAAGAAAACTTATGAAGAAATTTCCAGGGAATTCTAGAAGCATTTGTCATAAGAAAACACTCATGGCGGGGACAGAGGATTAAAAAACACCAGCTTTTTAAACAACAAAGATTGTGCTAAATAAAATGTACCCAAAAATCTTAAAGACTAATTTTTTTTTACATATTCTGCTGAAAGTTATCTGAACATGTCTGTCCATTAAAACTTCAGTAGAGGATGCATTGAATAGTCTGCCTCTGGGAGTAAAGAATGCTGACTCAAGAGTTGTATTTCAAATATACTTTTGAAACCACAAATCTCAAAATTCATTTACTGGACTGACAATAAAACTTAGTCCAAAATCAAATATACTCACTTAGTGGAAAATACAAATAACATTCCTG